GTCTGAGGATCTCCAACTGTTTAAAAATTCAATGTTCAGAATCTGATGGAATCTTGAATTATGACTCTAGATTTTATGGACATTTTTGTACATTCTCTATAGCTGTAACGAATGTTTTATGCTCTTTGCAAACAGCAGCTTAAGCGCCACTCTCCGAATCGAGAGACTGCTGACGGTGATCAAGAGGCCCGGCTGGAGGCTCTCTTCAGGGCGGGTCAATAATGCTCAAACACCGATCCCAATTGAAGTTTACGAGGGCCGATTAAATTTGCTTCAATACTACTAAAACCAAATAAAATTTAAAGATAACGAAATGAAAACTATTCAGCAAATAATAGAAAAACTAGTCTATTAAACCCTGTCACCAAAAGTGAAGGCATCACCCAACAAACAATTTGAGTTGATCAACAGCTGAATAAGCTATTTTTTACCTGGATAAGCTTGTTTTTGCCTGAATAAGCTCTTATTCAACATTCAATGTTTGTTGGGCAACTCTCCAAATCGAAAAATGATCTACTAAGCTTTAGAGAAAATTCAACGACTTTAAAGTGCTCTATATTATAGGGGAATTCAATCTTCTCTTAAAGCTAGGGTGACATCACAACTATGTACAGGGAGTTCTTCGAGCTCATAAAAAAAGAAGTTCTGACCTTGATTCGGTGGATCCAAAAGGGGCGATGACTTACGGGGTTACGGGGGCGGATGTCAGCAGGCAGGCCACACAAACATGCAGTGGCACGGAAAAGGGTCCGATTCCGGTCGTGGACCTTCTGGACCGTGCTCCGATCCCGTAGCTGGTTCAAATCGGACGAACAGTATCCAACACGTGTTCGAGCAGTTGAAGCGTAATACCCGAGGCGCACGCCGAGTCGGACGAGGTATCGCTATCCAGGACACACACCGAGTCGAACCGTTTGGCTGATGTCGACGACAGGCACTCGAACCGACCGAACGGGAAGCTTTCCGATTGCCGCAGTTCCAACGACGGCTACTACTGGCGCCACAAGCTATCGAGGTGGTTGACGGATACCTCGAACGATCAATCGTGGAGAGCTTTGATCGGGCGTCGTTGGGTGGTTGTCGGATCGGTCTCACTCCGGTGAGAAAAGCTTCGTCCCAGGGTCGAAAGGCGGGTATGCACTACGGATGCGCAATCCTGTGCGAGGTTCGGTCCAGCTCGCAGGCTTCCAAGCCCCAAACACGCACCCACGTGTGGGTTAAATCTGTTCAACATGCGTCAAAATTGAATTAGTGCACCGCATTCACTTGATTTTTCTAACTTTCGAAATATTACCCGACTTATTTCGTAGCGGAATTCACAAGTACACGCAAACCAAAAATCTATTACAATGAATGTTAGTTCCGTTTCCTATCATCCTCTGTTCATGAACATCGCAGCGAATGTTAGAAGTTGACCTTACAGGCGATGTAATGGTTTTTTGTCTTTTTCATTTCGTGTTCAATCTACGCTTTCGACTATACCAGTAAGCTTGTAGAACGACGCACATTGTAGAACATTGTAGAACGATGCACACACTTGCCTCGAATCTCTCCAGCAGAAAAAGCATACGAAGTCGAGTATGCGAGAAAATGAGCGCTTCATGTTTACTTTTAGGCTATCCATATTCAGGAGCATGGAGAGAGCAGTGGAGAAAGCAGAGGTCTGACAATCGAAGCGTTCTTGGTTCGAGTCCAGTCGGCAATCGGATTCCTATTTTTTTCGACATAACTAATTTACCTTACTAATACACTCTACATTTTTCGGTCTCCAATTTTCTTGCATTGGACCGCAGCTAGGTATATCGCATCCTCGGTTCATGCGGTCTCCACTAACATCCTCTGATGATGAATCCCACATAATTATAAGCGAATCTTACATCCCTCGGTTGGGTGTAGATTAATCGCTAATACTGAATTAACATTTGACCCGGTTAAGGTGTTTTGTTGTATCGGAAAAATGAAACTAAATAGTGTGATTTGATTACCATACAATTTTCGACCATTTTTTATAACACATGCCTTAAGTGTCCGAAATATGAATCAGAACGGTACCTCCATCATTTTCTTGTCTATTTGATGTATGTTTCACAACGAAGATGCGTCACACATACCAAAACGGCCAGGCCTACTGTGCGGCAAGACGATTCAGAAAACATCGGGCTTCAGAATCCAATAAATGGAAGAAACGTGGACATCTCGTACCGTACTCAAAAAGTCTAAAATTAAATGACAAAAGCTATCCTACAATCTAAAGGACATTTTGTCGCATCCCTCGTGCGACTTCAACATAGTGCTTCGAAGGACTCACGGTAAATGGCAGACATGCCAAACCGCAGTACGCCAAGTAGACCGAATGATGTGACGTTATAGCAGCGCATAAATGCATACAAATTCTCCAGGGAGGCCGTCCGAGGGAGGGAGATAAAAACAGCCCACCATCATGCAAACGACGATGTATGCTGAATTTAATAAATATCGATTATAAGTGTGCAAAAAACCACGTCAATTTGCCGGGGTTATTGCTCGTCCCACATGAGCCATGGAGGGAGAGCGAAACGTCAGGCTTTTGAAGTGCAACGTTCAATGTAGAAGGTTTTTAGCAAAACCCACATGCAAATATCCGTGTTCGATCGTTATCCATGGTGTCTGAAATTATGAATCGAAAAAATAAGTCATAAAATTTGAGCTTCTGCTTGTTATCCTAACGGATTGAGATGAGTGGAATCGATATTGTTTTCCGATTTGTAGGGGAAATTGCTCCGATGGTAAAAGCATTATCATCAGTCATCAATCTAAATTAAAAGTTAATGGCAATGACTAAAGGCAGCAACAAATGCGATCATTTCAAGAGAAACCACCCCTCCCCCCCCCCCCTCCCCAAAACAGAAGGTCGATACAATCGAACCCAGTGTCTATGTATCTGCTATTGATTAAACATAGCCGTCGACCAGCTGTGGATGATACTATTTTGTTGTGTTCTATTTTCTCCTTGCCAAAACATTCTATCCTGTCATAATTATACTACAACACATATCGAGCAATAATCATTGAACCAAACTGAAAACAAAAAACCCCCGCACCCCGCCCTCTGGCTGTTTCTTCCCCGAATAGCATTAATGGGAAAACAAGCCGAACTGATTCGCCCTAGGAGCGCACTATGGGGCGGCTCCATACAAAGTGGTGGCCAAAAATATTTTATTGGTTTTTCCGCACTTTTTGATGGTATTATAGTAAGTTTAGCATAAAATTAGTCATATTTATGTATTTTCATCGCATCCGAAAGGTGTAACTAGTATTAAACCCAGTAATGAGCTACTTATTCCTGAACAATAAACTTAAAAGTTTGTTCTTAATTTTAGGGACAGTTCAAATGCAAATCAAAACTAGAATAAGGTTGGTGTGCATAAGATTAAATAGGAAAGGTGGAGGTGGAAACCCCCCCCCCCCCTCCTAGCCAAGACCTGACCCCTCCCCCATTTTTTTATATATGTGATATAAGAGTATTGTTTTACCAATCAGGTATTTTGATGAAGAATTATTTGTCTATCGAACCTCCCCTCTACTGAAAATATTTTTTCCGTCCAAATCTCGCCTTTAGCATCATAAGGGCGTATTTGCATTGATCGATTTTCTCTTTCGTTAATAACTTGGCCAAACCGAAACCGATCGACGCAATTTTTGGACTGTGGCAAGATGTTATGATCAGTGCTGCGATTTGTCATTTTCATTTAGAAAACTTCAGTGGATATAGACAAAATTCATTTCAGCAGCAACACTGATAGAACTGAAAATCAAAATTTCCTTTGTCAAAATCTCACTCTTTTCTTTGTCAGTGACAAAGATTCCCTTGGTGAAAAAACTGTGAATTTGCGCATTCTGTGTCACATTATTGTTCTCCAGGCTGATAATGATGATGATTCGTATTCACTTTGATGGTTCTATGTAACTGTTTTGCTAAATTAATTTGATTTCGATAGTAATTCAGCAAATGAAAAAACTGCACATCGTCGTCACTGATAGTAATATCACTGACAATTGATATTGATTGCTACTGATGGTGACTCTCTGCTGAAATGAGTGACCAGGGTTGTTTTGTTATTATCAGTTTTTAGTGTCGAAATTTTGCAGCAGTGATCCTTTTCCGTCATTAAAAAAATCACTTCGATCGGCTTCGTTTTGGTCAAGTTATTAACAAAAGAGAAAATCGATGAAGACAAATCGATCAATGCAGTTATGCCGTTATGATACTCAAGGCGAGAAATAAATCATTAAAGCTAGTCGAAAGGATTATTTTTTTTACTATGTTTCCATTATTTTTACTGAATACATATCAACATCGTTAACTAAGTTGAACTACATTTTTTATACTGCAGGGATGAATATACTACAAAATAAAACATAATTTTCTTTGACTAATTGTCATAATAAAATTTATTTAATAACTTTCTCTTAAAACTAAATTAAATTCACAAGCAATTCTACTCATTTTCTACATTTTCATCAAGACCAAAATCATCATCCAGTTGTTCAACATCATCCATTAATGCATCTAGTGCATTGCCTTCAGTGTTTATATTTTCAGAGCTGTCAAGATCTTCGAATACTAAAAGTGATTTCACAACATCTGGATATTCAAGTGCTATCTGCTTTCGGATTCTATTACCTAGATTTATTGAACTTATCAAAGGATCAGATGAGTTCATAGCTCGAATAAAGACGTCATGTAGATTATCAACTCGTGACCTTTTCCTAGCATGATGGGTACGACATTTTTTTTAGTAGTTTATGTTGGCACTCTGCTGCTTCCTCAGCTAACATGCCAAGAGGAGCAGGTGAATGGATTATTATGCTTCCAGCGTGAGCGAGTACTTTATGCACTGTTGCTGGAATTTTATACCAATCATACAAATTAAGATACCGCCGATATGTTTCCATACAATAGTCATCCATTTTTTTAGGATTGCTCAGGTCTTGGCAATTGATTACTATTAAAATATTACGAAATCTAATAATAAGCTCTTCGTCGATATCCAAAACTTTGGAAAGTAATTCAGGAGTTGAAAATGCTTTTCGACACACATTTCCTGTTGTACTGGTCCCAGCTCCGCCTGCCCTGGGTTGATCAACTCGTACTCCGAACGCTTCGTACATTTTTTGAGTAACGAGTTTTTTCCGTTCAAGATATTTGGCCTTTAAATCCTTCGTGATCTTCCACGTTTTAATTTCCATCCTATAGGAAATATGTAATAAACACTCAAAAAATCGCATCCAAGCGTGCAGTGGAGATATGCCGTAATGCAGAACATCTTCGTTCGAATCGTATCCTGCTTCAAACTTCTGTAAAGTATAAAAAAAAACATTGTTATTTTTATGGCCCTTAAAATTTGAAAAAAAAAATATTACCTCTATATCACTCATTGCATTCGGAGTAGCTCCACAAATTGGACAGTTGGACATGGAAGAAGTATCAGTTACATAATTAAGAACTTTGCCGTCGATCATACTCACAACGAAAATAAAATCAACCAAAACATATTCACCATTCGATAATTGGATTTTTACTGGAACAAGCTGACTTATTTGATTTTCAATATATCTCTTGGTGTTAAGCACCATCTCTTTTGACTCTTTGATAAATTCCAGCATAATTGGCCTACAGAACCGAATGCTTTGGGGTGTTAAATTATGCCACAAAATGTTTTTCTTGTTGTTCTTATAATAAAGTTGTATAGGAGTAGTTGTCACTGAAAAGACGTCACTGTCATCTTTTTGATTTGGCGTTGATAGCGCTTGGTTGTATTGTGAATAGCCTGTTGAGCCATCCATACCCCAGCTGCTTAAAAGCACTAGCTCTGTGTCATCGTTGATATTCATTTGTTGGACGATTTCCGCATCGATGATTTGAATGATTCTTTCTGTTGTATGATTCATGAGTGCCTGTAATTTGACCTGAAAAGAAAGAAACATTTAAAGTTGGTGTACTGGAAAAATATGTGGATATTTATGTCTACCTGAATTTTTGATGATGACTCTTCGATTGACTCGGCTGAAGGTGAGCATACTTGTTTCATACTCTTAATTACATTGTAGCTCGGAAATCTTGATGGGTTCTTTTTCACTGTTTGCTCATATGCATATTTAGTAAAATTGCAGTCTAAAAAATATTCGAACGCCTCTTCAGGTGACATCATTCCATGCGAATCTTTGAGAGTCGTAAACATTTTAAATGCACTTTCTCGATTTTTGAGAACATGGCCAATCAAATTCACCATATTTGAATCCCCATGTCTATACGCAATTTGTCTTGTGAGTAAAAGAGCCCTTTCTATAGTGCCAACATTAACGCCAAATATTTCATCGGTTTTCCTTCGCTTACTTCTATCACTAATAGCCGATGTCTTCAACTCCGCTTAAATCTTAAACCAGGTTTACCCATATAATTAAACCTGGTTTAATGCTTAAGCGGAGGTGAAGAAATCGGCCGTAAGCTCATCAAACTGTTTTTGTGGACGTCCGCGTCCATCATGGCCAGTTGACGTTAAAGGTGTTTCTGCGATGTACTCTGCAAGTTCCAAATGACTATCGAGCCAATCCTTATTGTATTTCTCAAAGCGCTCTTGTAGGCGGTGAGCCTTTTGCCACGCATTGTAAAAATGTTGTGCTACGTACTTCAACTTTTTAAGAAGTTGTTCTTCTTTGGCAAGATCAATATTATATTTTTTCTTGATATATTCAAATGCTTTTGTTGCATTGACTACTTGAGATTCTTTTGGATCAAAAAGTAACACGATGCTCCTATGATCCATATTATCACAAACAATTGTTTTCAGATTTTTGATTAAACTACTGCACAATATTGTTGTTAGCACACACACGTTGTTAGCGTTACAGCCGAAAACAAACTCATGATTTGAAAATATTGTCCTCGTCTTTTAAATGCAAGTAGGTAACATCAATCAGTGTTCACTCGGCTGTCGACAAAAGCAGGCCACTCTCGATGTGTGCTACGCGATCGTCTGTTTACTCGGCAGCAACCATTGTGTGGTCCTCCTCATTGTTCTTCATCAGCAGTTCTTTCGGTCGATGCGTCGTCGACTTTGGAAAGCAACCGTTTCGTGATGAGTGTGTGAGTGCTGACCACGTTTTGCGTCCATTTCTGCAATGGACGCGCTCTGACCCTCGTTGGCGTACAAGAATTTGCCATACAATGAAACTACTGGAAGCGGCTCCAGTTCTGATGGAGGAGGCTTTTTGGATAGCGGAAGATAAAGTGTTTATTGTGTTGTACCTTTTGACTATAGCTTTAAGATGTATTGTATAGTGACCAAGAATCCTCGGCTCTGTTAAGTTAATTCGGTTGAGCCTTATCAAATAAATTAATAAACAAAAAAAAAAAAGGTAACATCAATAATAGTTTTACCTAAGTTTGTGGGTAGAAATTGTAAAATGGCACTCGAACAGGTAATTTCCTTTTGGTAGTGGTCTTTCTTTTTCCGTTGGTTATTATGTATTGAAAATATCAAAAGGTTATCGTGAAAACATTGAAAACTTTTTAGTCCAGTTGGGTAGATACGGTTTCTATATGTAATGATAATTTTCGGTCTGTTTTTACCCATTTTTAACAACAATAATAATTAAGTGTGTAACATTTTTAAGACCAAATTTGACATTTAACAGTTCCACTTTTCAACCAGTGTTTAATTTGTACGATTTTTTGGTTAATGCTCGTATAATCGATATATGTAATTAACAAAAAAAAAACATTTAAAACATCATTTTTACGACTTTGTGCCAAAATGACGCTCATACGCAGCTATACGCAGCTGGATCCTTGTTCCGCAGATAGTATAGACCCTAAACTAAAACGTAGTGGTGGTCTCTTGAGACTGCTCGGCCCTGCTCGTTAGATATAGTTCAACTTAGGCAAAAAAACATTTTTTTTTCAATAATTTCCCATTTTTAACCAATTTTAATTAACCGTGTAACCTTATCAACATACCCATTTTAAAGTTTAGACAATTAGCTTTCCAACGGTGTATTAAATTCAATGTTTAGACCGTTATTCGCTGAGAAAATTGCATTTGTTTCAAATGCTTTTTTTCTACAATTTTCAAAATTTTCTTTAGTCTGATGTCTGTGGCGCAATGAGTTTTCATCACAGAGGGCTGAAATTTTGGGCATCTAGGTTTGAACTATCTGGCTATCAAATGGTTTACAAGATACGTCATTCAAAGCAAGTCAATTTTTCGATTTTTGGCCACCACTTTCCCCATAGTAGAGCGCCCGCAGAGCTGCTCCAATCGATTGGCAGTTGGTGGTAGGTATAGGTACCTAGGTAGGCAGAAGCACGAGGAAAAATGTGTCGATCAATGTTTTGTCTGTGTTCCCTTCGGTCGCCGGTGGGTTGGTTATCCGAAAGCGGGGGGAAGGCGATGAAAATAACAACAATAAAAATCGCTTTCCCGGAAGCGTGCCACGCCGCCCGCACGTTCGGTGGCAAAGAGGCGAACCAGGAGCGGCGTGGATGAGCACTCTTCGAAGTTCCTGAAGCACACACAGAGGGCTGCTTCCGTGATCACGTTCGGATAAATTATGCAGGTGTAATCTTCGTTGCTTCGCCCGCCAGCCCGCTTATGAATAGATTAATCGGAGACTCGCTCGTGCAGCGCGTGATTGTTGTCAATCAGGGATCGTTTTCGGTTTTTAAATTGAATTTAATGATTATTATTTAATTTAGAGGAGCACTTACGGGCAAGCAATGCCTATGTGGCGAATTGCTGTTATTGGTTTTCTAAGTAAAATTGGTGCCTCTTGTTTTGCCTAACGATTCTTGACGAAGATGAACTCTAATACACTATGTACTATGTTTTAGAATTTTCTTATCAGGCAATGCTTAATTCACCATTGATCTTTGAATTTACCTATCTTTTGAATTGCAGAAATTGAATTCAGCCTATCATTGTTGAACAGATAATTGGGAATTGGGATTTGTTAATATGGTTGCTTGGGTATCTATCATAAGAAATGAGTGTGATATTATAATCAGTATTCCGGAATAGGTTTTCAAGTTGGACGATATGGCTTTCAGTCTCATATGCTCAAAAACGAGTTTCAAGTATTTCAAGCTGAACATTGCATTAGGCCCTAAGTAACATTGTTCGATTCTCTTCATCTACTTTCTCTTTCGTTAATAACTTGAGCACATGACCGTTTCTTGTTGTGTTTGTCGTATTAAATGCTAGATAAAAGCTTCTTTAATCGATCAGTGTTCTGAAAATACCTACACAGTTCGAAAAGTAGTGTAAATTTCTGTTCAATATGATGCACACAAATGGAGCGTCATATTTCATATAAGTTTACATTATATATCATGTAAAGTTCTAGCACAATTCATGCAATGTAGCAAATATTGTATACAAAAGTCCATCTTTGTAAACAATATTGTTTACAAGTTGCTCGGTTCTGGAATTTGATACGGGATCGACGGTTAACATGCTCTCGTCGGTGAACAGGATTACCGGATTTTTTCGCTTAAGGAAGTTCAAGATTTTCTTGCATCGTTCGACTCGTAGCTCCCGGATGCGGTTGGTAATCAGGTGAGTTTTTTTCCGTGCCCTCGACTTCGCTCCGCAATCTTCCTTTACGATCTTCCGTGCCGAAAAGTCACTGATCCCTTGTTCCTTTGCCATTTTCCTTATTGAACGCACTGGATTCACCCGAATCTTCCTTTTGATAGCAGCGATAACCCTCGGAACCCTAGCTGACCTCGGACGATCTGTGGCCACCTTCGAGGATAGTTGTCCTTTCTTTTCTCGGTCTAAAACCCTTTTGACGGTCCACCGGGAGACTCCCACGGCGATTGAAATGTCTTTTTGTGACATTTGCGCGTGGGACAAATCACGAATACGCTGCCACTTCGTCATGGTGAAACTGTCAAACTAAGTAAATCATTTTCTTTTATACACAGCCTACTACGGTATGAGCTATAGGTTACGTGCATGCAAAGAAAACCAAGGCATTGTATGCACAGGTGAAACGGGAACCTTATTTGTACGATGGTGCAAACATTATCACGCATACGGTACATGGGATCGGAATAGCAATTTGCTATCGAGGGTGAGACCAAGGTAGACTACTTCACTCAATCATTTAATGGAAGTGCTATCTGTTGCGCCCTTTCTAGATGTTACGCTAGACGCATACGCGAATCCACCCCTCCAGAGAAACAAAATTACCACTGACGTTCTGTAATTTGCGCATCATTAATAAAAACACGTTCTTCAAAGTACGCGGTCGTGTATACTTTCATTCTGTCCGATTATCCTGGTTAAGCCTGTCCGTCTGGTTCCGTCGGTTGATTGTCCGCCAAAAGGTTATGGACCCAGTCTAATTCGTGATTGCGGAATTCGGTTCGTACGCGAGAAAAGTTGTGGAACGGTTCGCTTTGCGGTCGAGTGTTTGTGGCTTCGAGCATCGGCTGGTGGATTCCTGCAAGCGGCAAAATGGCGGATTCGCAGAGGTTTGCGATGCAGAAATTAAACAACCACAAGTACCAGTCGTGGAAGTTTAAGATGGAGATGCTGCTGATCCGGGAGGATACATGGCAGGTCATTTCAAATCCACGGGAGAACCCAGTGACTGAAGCGTGGACGAAAGCGGATGCAAAAGCTCGGGCGACAATCTGGCTCTGCATTGAAGACGACCAGACGAGCCTAGTGCGCAGTTGTGCGACTGCGAAGGAGGCATTGGGATGCCTTGAAAACGTACCACGACAAGGGATCGGAGGTGTATCTCTTGAAAAAGCTGACGCACTTGGAACTCAAGGAGAGCGGCGATATGGAGCAACATTTGCAGACGTTTTCCGATTTGCTGCAACGGATCGCGGACGTTGGCGATGCAATTCCGGAGAAGCTGCAGGTGGCTATGTTGTTGTGCTCGCTGCCGGACTCGTATGATTTCCTTACGACGGCATTGGAACAACGGCCACGAGAAGAATTGACACTTCAACTTGTGAAATCCAAGCTGTTATCAGAGGCAGAAAAACGCCGAGAGCGCAGCGGAGGTGCCAATTCGAGCAGTGGACAAGCGTTGTGGGTGGAACATCGTCGCCGACGAGTGCGTGGTGCTGGTGGAAGTAAGCAAACAGAAACGCGATCTTGCTTCCAGTGTAAACAACCGGGGCACCTGAAGAAAGATTGCCCAAATGTTGCAGCTGCCGAATCAGGGAAGAAGCCGGAAGAACCGAAAGCCAAGCAAGCACAAGCAGTTTCCGAGGGACCGCTGGCGTGGATGGTGGGGCAAGCTGAGCCAACAAGCTGGTTCATCGACAGTGGTGCTTCTCGGCATATGAAGGGG